AACACCATAAATATCTTCCAGACAAGATACAGTTTGCATCTTCATCAGTTCCTGCAATTTATAAGCCTGAGAAAAATAGCTGGGGGTTTCTGAACAGAGCCAGGATCTGATCTCCCAGAAGGCTGTGCTACTGAATTTTCCATGGAGACATTAGATATCCCTCTATAGTCACCTTCCCTTTGATCAAACGAAATCTCCAAGGAAGAAGAGTATTTGTGATCCTACGACATGGCTGGTGTCACTCAATTTGGCTGTTTGGTGAACTAAGTTCAGAGGAACTGACATTCGCACATAGTTTGCTCAGCTGCACATGTTTCTATGAAACCTAAGATGGGAGTTCTAACAGCCTCTTGAAGCTAGGAAACCTCATCTTCACACTTCACCTGCAGTCTCTCTAGCTTTGGGAGATGCCCTTTTCCCCAAGAGATACCCAAATACCATCAGGAGAAACTTAGCTCCATAAAGAGTGAAGTCATTTCTAATTCTCAGGATATCAATCTGGACTAGGACATTTGAGCCAAAGCTTTGGTTGTATTACCAGCATTTCCAATTCTATCCGATTAACAAGGAAGACAGTATCCTACTGTACTTATGGAAATAGATCCACTGCCAGTAAAATAAAAAAATATTTAAGAGGGCCTTAGAAATGCTTTGGGAGAAGTAAAACAGGAAGAAAAAGATCAGTGTTGATACCCACATGGGAGTCCTCCTGTACATTCTTGCTGTCCAAAACAGTGTCCAGGTACCCTCCACAGGACCCATTGGAGAAGGGACAGAGCTTGGACTCCTGGAAGCTTAGCACATGCTCCCACTGGTCATCACATGACCACTGCCCTTGCTGGGAGGGACTCGGTGTCAGCTTCACTGTGGAGATGGTGCTATTGGGACCAACCAGAGGCGGGATCTGGTGTGGAATGTTAGCTTCAGTCAACAATAACCTCAATGCTAGCTCTCATTTTTGAGCATTTATTGACTCAGTGCAAGTTTTCTAAGGACATTCCACCTTCACAACAAATTTATTTTAAGGGTGAAAAAAATTTATTCACAGTTTAATAACATAGAGAAGGAAAGCAGGGTCACTAATATTTTACATCCAGCTCAACTGCTTCACTTTCAGCAGAACTGATGGGGTTGGACACTTCACACTGGTAGTTCCCAGCATCCTCCCTCCTGACAGGGTCTATGGTGAGGGTTCTGTTGCTCCAGGACAGCTTCATGCTCTTACAGACTCATGTTATTGAAGAACCACTGGGTGAGGATCACAGTTGAGTAGCAAGTCAGGACCACAGCATTCTCATTCTCTGTGACTGTGGTGCTGCTCTCTAAGAGGGTGGGCACTCTTGTGTGCTCTGCAAAAAGACCAAGGACTGATTGAGAGTGGACTTGGGACTTGGGGTCCTGCTACATTCAGAGACATCTCAGCCACTCACAGTCACCAGTGAGCTCTGTAAAGGTCACCAGAGGATGGTCCTGACCTCTGCAGAAGGACAATTGTCTTTGTTCAGGTGACAATATCTATGGATAGGGCTGCACTTCTTCTCTGACCCCACATAACCCCAGGGTGACCCCTGACCTGTTCCTCAGACATCTCTGTAATATCAGCATAGGGAACACCTTCCCCGGTGATGTTTCCTATGACCTCATCATCAGGTAGCATTTTCCTCTCATGAGCTTTTATTATTTCTTTCTGTCATTAACTTCAAAAAAGATGAGGTCCCACTCTTTATGTAAAATTCCATGTATGTTGTGGAAGGCAGGCTGCCACCTCTGTCCTTCTCTGGGGCCAAGGGAACTTTATAGAAAGTGAAAAGGCATTTACCTCTTTTTAAATAATTCATTAGGCAATACAGATGGCCCAACCCAGACTTCATGATCTTGGAACTGTAGAAGTTCCAGCTAAATGACTTTTCAGCCTAAAAGGACTTTATTTCTTGGCCTGCAGATTGAATATCATAGTAAAATAAGTCTCTAGAGAGAAGTCGTTATAGTTTTATCAAAAGACAGGAGCTGTAGGAATAGAAGGAAACGTTTCAATATGATAAAGGCTACACATGAAAGCCCACAGCTAACCCAACATTCCATGGAGAAACTTGGAAAATGTTATTAACATCATGAACAAGACAAGGATGCTGTTTTTCTTTTTTTAAAAAAATATATTTTATTGATTTTTTACAGAGAGGAAGGGAGAGGGATAGAGAGTTAGAAACATAGTTGAGAGAGAAACATCAATCAGCTGCCTCCTGCACACCCCCTACTGGGGTTGTTCCGACAGCCTAGGTACATGCCCTGGAATGGAAATGAACCTGGGACCCTTCAGTCCACAGGCCAACGCTCTATCCACTGAGCCAAAACAGTTAGGGCTAGGATGATGTTTTTCCTACTTATTTACTATAGTAGTGAAAGAACTGGCTGGAAAAATCAGGCAAGATAATAAAATAAGAGGTATCCAAATTGGAAAGGAAGAAGAAAAATTATCTTTTAAAATAAGACAACATAATCATATATAGAAAACCCTAAAAATTTCACCACACATACACACACACAGCAAAGAAAATTTTTAAGACCTGATAAAAAAGGCAAAGTTGTTGGAGACAAAATCAACACTCAGCATCACTTCCATTTGTTTCAACAAAAATGAACAATGCCAAACTAAAATTAGAGAACAGTTGCATTTAAAATAGGAGCAGAGAGACTAGAATACTTAGAATTAAGTTAATGTATAAGATGAAGATATATACACTGAAAACTACCAAATATCTCTGAAAGAAAGTAAAGAAGAAACAAAATACCTTGAAACACATCCATGTTCATGTGTTGGAAGACCCCCAAATATCTTCCTATTTGATATGATCCTTATAGAATTCTCTATGACTTTTTTCAGAAATAGGAAAATCCATTTTAAAATTCATAATGAATTTCAATGGGCCCACAAATTATTTCAATAATCTTAGAAAAAAAGAACAAAATTGGACGTCTTACACTTACTAATTTCAAATTTTACTACAAAGCTGAAGTAACCAAAATATGGTGACACTAGCATAAAGACTTCTATTTGTCAAAAGACACAATCAAATGGTTTTGACAAAGGAGCCAAGGCTGTTCAATGGAGAAAGGACAGTCTTTTCAACAAATGGTGTTGAACAGTAGCATCCACATGCAAACAACTGGAGTAGACCATCGCTTTTACCATAAACAACAATTAAGTCAAAATGGGATTGAATCCTAAATGTGAAACCTAAAACTATAAAACTCATTAAAGAAGTTATAGAGGGAAGCATCTTGACATTGAATTTGAAATGATTTCTTGAATATGACTCTAAGAATACAGGTAAAAAAAGAAAAATAGGTAAATTGGATAGTATCAAAATAAAAACTTCTGTTCATCAAAGGACACAATCAACAGAGTGAAAGGTGACCTATGAAATGGTAGGAAATACTTTGCAATTCATATATAAGATGAGGGGTTAATATCTAGAATATACAAAGAACTCCTACAACTCAATAACAAAATCAAATAACCTGATTAAAAAATGGTCAAAATACTTGAACACATATTTCTTCAAAGATGACATACAAATGGCCAGCATGGTTATCCTATATAATAAAGAGCTAATATGCTAACTAGACCGGAAGGCGGAATGACCTTCCAGAATCACCAGTGGGCAGAGGGTGAGGCCGCAAGTCAGGCATCTGAGGCAGCTGGGGCTGTGAGGGCCAAGCCCCTTGCATGGATTTTGTGCATCGGGCCTCTAGTGAATAGAGATATCCAACATCACTGATCCTTAGAGAAATCAAATCCAAACAACAATGAGATATTATTGTATACCCATTAAGATGGTCACTGTTGGAAACACAGAAAATAACCTGTGTTGGCACAAAATGGAAAAATTGGAGCCAGGCCCACTGTGGGCGAAAATGCAAAATGGTGCAGCTACTATAGAAAACAATTTGGAGGCAGATAAGAAATAGACTTACCATGTACCATGTGGTCCAGCAACCTCACTTCTGCTTTTATATCCAAAGGAATGTAAAGCAGGACTTTGAAGAGATATTTACACATCCATTTTCATTGCAGAATTATTCACAATAGCCAAGAGGTGGAAGCAACTCTATTTTTCATAGAGTAACATAAAAAATGTAGCACATACATATGCAATGGTACCTTATTCAGCCTTATAAAAATGGTAATTCTGGATAGTATGCTCCATGAAACAAGCCAGTCACATGAAGACAGGAACAGAGTGTTCCACTTATATGTATCTCAAGTATTCAAATTTACAGAAACAAACAATGTTGGTCACTGAGAGCAACAGAGGCAGCAAGGATAATGCCAAGATTTCCTAGAAGAATGGATTTGACCTTGACTGAGAAGAGGAGGATTTGGGGAGGATCAGGTTGGGAGGTGGGGAGGATAAAGATCTTTGTTTTGCACACGTTACAATAGAGGTGCCCAATTATGTCTAGGAAAGATTCCCCAGATCGGCTTAACTCATTCTCCTGAAGCCTTTGGGAAACACACACACACACACACACACACACACACACACACACACACACACACAGAAACAGAAACAGAAACAACAAAAAAAACAACTCAGAAGTTGGAGATAGCAATCCCAGGAATCTCTGACAACAGAGTCAATGTGTGAGTTCTGGAGAAGGGAAGCGGTTTTGTGCGCTATGGGTTGTGACTCTCCCACACTCAGGGCCATGGAGCTGGTGGGTCCTGGACTGTGGATTTGGAGGCTGCAGAGGGACTGTTACTCAAGAACAATGCAGCATGTCCATTTCCCAGTGTTTTCATCCAGGAAGTAACAGCAACACTTTAGCAAATCAAGTCTCCAGTCCTGCCCTTAGAGATCATTCCGGAAATTGCAACTTTAGTCTACTTTCCAATACATAAAAATTAAATTAAATAAGTAATAGTTTTCCTAAAAAGGAAGGCAGACCACTTATGGTCTGGTTAATGAACTGAGAATAGTAATTTTTGTCTTTTTCATTTTATATTATTTTATTTTATTTCTATCAACATTTATTTTAATTTTATCCTCCTAACATAAACAAAAATAACAAATCAAATACAAAAAATATGCCAGTGCCCATTATATATCATTTGGACAAAGAGCCAAGTCGTTTGGGCTTCAAGGACAAATCTTAATCAGTTTGTAAGACCCAGAGAAGGTAAATTGTTTTGAGGTGATCCTCTACAACCCAAGGAGATTTTAACTCCCCCTGCAGGTGGAACATGAAATAGTTATTCCATGTCTGATATTCACACTGTAAGCAAAGCCAGGTCCCAGCTCTCTCCTGTTGGATATTCTTTCTTGTATTTGTGACAACACTGAATGTTGCCTGATAAGCCCTGTGTCTCTGTGTGTTCTGTTAAAAGTTATCACAGGAAGGTTCTGGATTCTTTGGGCCATACTGAGGATATGTGCCCCAAACAATGAGAGCTCCCCTGGATGGAACCAAAGTCTTCTTTAAATGACATTCTTTGAGTTTATTTACTAATTTTTTTCATTATCCACTGCAAGGTCTTTCCTCTTGGATGATGAAAACTTACCTGATTTCTTTCTCATCACCAATTCTCTCTCTCTCTCTCTCTCTCTCTCTCTCTCTCTCTCTCTCTCCCTATCTCTTTCTCTTTCTCTCCAGTAATTTTCTGAAGACCAATATTTAGTGTAGACTTATTGTGTCTGTTTAATGCCATTCACACTTGAGCCAACTACCTGAGATTTCTTTAAATTTGAATCTCCAGTGAACATCATAGACAGAGAACCTTCCTTCTGTGACCTACAGAGGTGGGCATGGGATGGTCCTGCTCATTAGACACTTGTAATGCCATAAATAGAGTAGAAAAAGCCAAATACTTCTCTACATCCCTTCACAGCTTCTCCAGGTTTCCTTGCCGCTGTACTGCCCTCTGGTGGTCACATTACAGAATTTTCCCAACCAATGGTCAGGTGTAGGGGCAGGACTATGAAAAGTCACGTGAAAGTTCTGGGCTCTTTGTACAAATTAAGAATTTCAGGATGACAAAAGCAAACTATTAAACCTACCACAGGCTCTTCTAAGTGGCTGCACAAATTATGAGCCCATGAAGCGGCCCTCCCTACCAGGGCAAATGGATGTGTTCATTCTCCAAGTTAATTCAATCCCAAACTCAAGTCATAAAAATGGCGAGAATTAGAGGCTTTCCTGCTAAAGATGAACAAAACTGCAACTTTCTAAATGCCTTAGTAAGACACGTGTGCTCCAAAGGGTGGAAGTGATGCCAGCTAACGTTGATGCTCTAAGACAATGACATTAGTGATGACAGTGACACCAGAGACAGGATCAACTCTTGTGATCAGCAGTTTAAGCAAAGCATGAGCTATAGGGCCATCCACATCTGTGACCATTCAGGAATCTGCCACAGATGGCTCCACTAGTCTGGGCCATGCTGGACATACCCTCCAGAGGAGAAGACAAGTTGCTAATTGATGTTAGAAGAATGAAAGGTGCTTTGTGAAACCTCTGGTGAGACCTAATAAAATAATTACTCCTAGGCAGACTCCTTGTGAACAAGGCCATATCTTCTACAGCAATAAAACAGCAGCTCCCAACAGGCTTCTAGGCCTGAGGAGAGATGGAGAGTCTGAACGTGGTCTGTAATGTGACCATGTTGGCAGAACTGCCCATCATAACCTGGGTTCTACCACACCCACCAACATAAGTTCAGGTGAGGAGAGAAGCATCCAACACAGATGGAAGTGACACATCCTGGATTAGACAAGGTCAGGTGGGTACCTACCACTCCATCCCTGTGACCTACCACAGAGCTCTTACCTGTGGAAACACAGAAAGTTACTCTCACTAGTCAACAAAGAAGGAAAATGCTCCACACATTCCAAGTTCATGCCAGCCCTCAATTTCTTCTCCCCCAACACACACATACCATCAGCCTTTTCCTTGTCTGTCCCCAGACTCCTAGTCAGATTTACTCACTGACACACAAATCCCCGGGGACATGGCTAACGTGTTTACTCAGTTGAGGCACATGTTGGTGTATAGAGGTGAGATTGGCCTTTCATGGCTCTCCCAGGCCGTGAGGAAACTGCTTTGAGAGCCAAATGCACACACCTGTCCTGGGTTGGAGCTGGAGGATGGACACCTCCGACCCTCAATTTGGTCCTCACCCTCAAGCCTGCCCTGCATTCCCCACTTTCCCTAAGCTCCATGACAACCCCTGTTCTATTCTGACTACCCTGGACTTCAACTAATTTCCTGGCTCAAATATCACATTCCCTAGGCTCATCTTCTGCATTCATGGTGTCCCCATCCCTCCTCACTTTTCAGACTCCTAACTCCCTACAAGATGCTCATTTGCATTTCCTTCTTGTTTCTTATTTTATGTCTATTCTGTAACTCCTGCCAGCCAGTATATTTTGTGCTCCTTCTTGTCACAAATGTCAGGACACTAATATGAATCTTCAAGAATCTTATTCTTTCCCCCAACCCTGTGTCTCACCCCTTTTGCCTATCCCAGTTTGGGAGAATGGCACTCCCACTTCACTACACCAGCTCCAGTGGCTTCTCCCTCAACAGGTAGAAAGTAGCCCCTCACTCATATCCCTCGGCCCCATCCAGAGCCCTCCCCAAAAGAGCCCACCTGCAGGGCACCTTTAGTTCCCCTTGACCTCATATAATGCCTAACATCTCCAAACCCACCAGGCTTTACAATTTATCATCCTGGCTCTGAACAGATCCTATCACTCAAAAGCTCCCCTCTAAGCCCACTTCTGCTTACCCACAATCCACCTCTGGCTAGCTCTCAAAGGAGTATAACTAAATAACCCAGAGGCCACAAGGTACAGGAAAGATTTATTTCCATTTCCCAGGTTCTGGATGTGGATTCTATAAGAACTGGCACCTGGAGATTGTAAAAACAATGAAGAAAACAAAGTATGAGGACACCTGTCTGGCCTGAGCTCCAGGTCACGGGGGACAAAAAACAGCATCTTTTAGTGACAGCCTGTGGGTGGCTGACATGTCAGGGACCTGCATGTTTACTAGAGTTTCTAAAGTTCAAGAGAGAATATCTGTGAAAATCTCTGTGATCTTGTTCCTTGAAGATGCAGTGGAAATAACTGTGAACACTGTTGATGGCTTGGTCCCTGTGGACGTGTGCCCTTTCAGGCCTGCATGTCTTCTCAGATTCTGGTGCAAAGGCCATCCTGAGGCAACCTGCAGCCTCAAAAGCATCTAAGAAGTCACGTCAGATGCTGCTGGGTATGCCAAGTCATTAGGAAGGCAGGAAAACTAGAGACCTTTATGTGGAGGATTTTAGCCCGATAAGGAAAGAAATTGGAAGATTTGAAAATAAGGTAAGGATTGACAATGTGAGCAAAATGACAGGATCAGCTAGTTACAGGTAGATGATGACAAAGTAAAACAGGTGTCCAACACATTTAAAGAGGCAAGGAAGACATTCTTCAGAACCATGCAATAGGGGAGTGAGATGAAACTCAACACCCCTGAAAGAAAAGGCTGGGGAGATTTTAGGAAAGAAGAAGGAATTATAGGCATCTGTGTTTGCTAATGGGTTTTACAGAAAGGAAATGTAAACCATCTCCTGAAGTCCTGGCAGGAGGTCTTTTCACATCTTGGTTGTAAATGACCCCACCCAAGTTAGGCTCTTACTTTCCCTTAGAGACTGGGACACAGGGACACCAGGAGGATTAAATTTCAAACGGATGGGGCCAGGTCCTTGAGACAGTTATTCTCTGGGTCATAACACTGACAAGAAGCTTTTGAGGAGACGTATGTATATTTCAAAAGTGCAGAGAAAGAATGTGCAATTACTACTAACATTTACAAAAGAAATGGTCTAAGTCTGGAAGACAAAGGCATGTTGTCAGGAAGAAACTGTGTAAAGGTTAGTGACTCTGAGGGAACATTAATGCCTCTAGTTCAGAACAAAACTGCTTTCTGCACAGTGGAGGGAAACACAACTAAATCTCTTTTAGCCAAGACCCAGTTGACATCTTTATCATTTCCAGCAATGTATGAAGAGCTGCAATTTCCCAGCAATTTATAAACAGTTGCAAAGTAGCTGAGAGTTCCTAAACACAGCCAGGATCTGATCTCCCAGAATACTGTGCTTCTAGAGTTCTCCATGGAGACATTACATTGCTCTCTACAGTCACCTTCCTTTTGACCACAGGTCACCTCCAAGGAAGAAGAGTATTCTCCATCCTACAACATGGCTGGTGTCACTGGATTTGGCCTGATTAGTGACCTAAGTGCAGAGGAACTGACATTTACCACATAATTTGCTTGACTCAGGTTTTTCTATGAAACCGAAGATGGGAGTTCTAACAGCCTCTTGAGGTTAGGAAGCCTCATCCTCTAGCTTTGGGTAATGCCCTCATCTCCAAGAGATTCCAAAAAACCCTGCCGGTCAAATTTAGCTCCATAAAAGGTGAGGTCATTTCTAATTCTGTGGGAATCTGTCTGAACTGGGACATTTGAGCCAAAGCCTTGGTTGTGTTACTAAGGTTTCCAATTATACCCTATTAACAAGGAAGACAGAGTCCTATTTACTTTATGCAAATAAGTCTATTGCCATATAAATAAAAATACTCAAAAAGACTTAAGAAATTTTTTGAAATAAGTCAAACAGGGAGAAAAAAAAGATCAGTGTTGTTACCCACATGGGTGTCCTCCTGTCCATTCCCATTGCCAACAACAGTGGCTGGGCATCCACTACATGTCCCCCTGGAGGAGGGACAGAGCTTGGATTTATGCAAACTCATCACGTGCACCCAGGGTAATCACACAGCCACTGCCATTCTCTTGAAAGACTCAGTTTCACCTCCACTGTGGAGATGGTACAACTTAGACCACACAGAGGTGGGATCTGGTATAGACTATCACCTTAAGTCAACAATAATGACAATGTCAGCTCTCTTTTTTGAGCATTTATTGACTCAATGCAAATCTTCTAAGGACTTTCCACCCTCACAACAAATCTATTTAAAGGGCACAAAAGATTATTCAGAGTTTAGTAACATATAGGAGAGGAGGAGGGTCACTAATATTTTACATCCAGCTCAACCGGCACACTTTCAGCATAACTCATGGGGTTGGACACTTCACACTGGTAATTCCCAGCATCCTCCCTGCTGACAGGGTCTATGGTGAGGGTTCTGTCATTTGAGGACAGCTTCATCCGCTCAGTCAGCCGCAGATTCATGCCATTGAAGAACCACTGGGTGGAGACTGCATTTGTGTAGCAGGTCAGGACCACGGAATCCTTATTCTCCGTGACTGTGGTGTTGCTGGCTTGGAGGGTGGGCACGCTCACCGGTTCTGTGGAGAAATAGAGAGCATGGCTAATTGAGAGTGGGCTTGGGACCTGGGCCATGCTAGCTCCTCAGACATCTTAGCCACTCAGAGTCCACTGTGAGCTCTGTAAGGTCACCAGAGGATGGTTCTGATCTCTGCAGAAGGACAATTGTCTTTGTTCAGGGGACGATGTGTAGGGCAAGTGTTGCACCTCTTCTCTGAACCCAGATCACCCCTGACCTGTTCCCATAGACATCTTTGTAGTATCAACACAGGGAACCCTTTCACAGTCCACGTGTCCTATAACCTCACTGTAAGGTGGAGTTTTCCTCTCATGAGCTTTTACTGACCCTTTCCTACAAGTTCTTTTGACTTAAAAATTCCATGTATATTGGGAAAGGCAATCTTACCACTTCTGCCAACTACTGGGGCCAAGGGGACTTTACAGAAAGTGAATGGGCATTTAACTATTGTTAAATAACTCATTAGGCAATAAAGATGGCCCAACCCAGTCTTCATGACCTTGGATATGGATAAGTTCCATCTATAAGATTCCTCAGTCTGAACAGGACTTTATTTCCAGGCCTGCTGATTGCATATAATGGTAAAATAAATCACTAAAGAGAAATGGTTATGATTTTAACAAAGGACAGGAACTGTAGGAATAGGAGGAAATTACTTAATATGGTAAAGACCACACATGAAAGTCCACAGCTAACACATTACTCCACGGAGAACCTCTGAAAACAGTACTAAGATCATGAATAAGACAAGGATGCTGTTTTTCCCCTAATTCAACTAGTCAGGAAAATCAGGCAAGAAGATGAGATAAGTGATATCCAATTTAGAGAGGAATAAGAAAATATCTTTTTAAAAAAGACAACATAATCTTATTGTAGAACACCCTGAAGATTTCACCACATACATACCTAAAACAACTAGTATTACTAATATAAAAGATGAAGTCGCCAGAGACAAAATCAACACTCAGCATCATTTCCATTCTTTAAACAAAAATGAACAATCCTCAAATAAAATAAATAAAACAGTTCCATTTACAATAGCATCAAAAAGACTAGATGCTTAGGGTTAAACATAATAATGTGGAAGATGAATACACTGAAAACTACCAAACATTTCTGAAAGTAAAGAAGAAACAAATAACTGGAAAGACATCCATGTTCATTGATTCCAAGACCACCAGCTATCTACATATTTGAAACAATCCCTATCAAAATCCCAATTACTTTTTTTCAGAAATAAAAAAAAAATCCATCCCAGAATTTATGTGGAATTTCAATGGATTCCAAATGTTTGCAACAATCTTAAAAAGGATGAATTGAAATTGGAGGTCTCACAGTTACTAATTTCAAATCCTACTACAAAGGGAAAGTAATCAAAATAGTTACACTGGCATAAAGACTTCTATTTGTCAAAAGACACAATCAAATGGTTTTGATAAAGGAGCCAAGACTGTTCAATGGAGAGAGGACAGTCTTTTGAACAAATGCCGTTGAACAGCAATGTCTACATGCAAACAAATAAAGGGGTCCATTGCTTATACCATACACAACAATTCAGTCAAAATGGATTGAATCCTAAAGCTAAGAACTAAAATGATAAAACTCTTAGAAGAAAACATAGGGGTAAGCAGTATGGCATTGGATTTGGCAGTGATTTCTTGAATATGAAATTAGAAACTCAGGCAAGAAAAGATTAGATAATTTAGATTTTTGACAAAATGAAACCTTCTGTTCATCCAAGGACACAATCAACAGAGTGAAAGGTGATCTGTGGAATGGTAGAAAATCCTTTGCAAATCATTAATAGGATGAGGGGTTAATATCCAGAATATATAAAGATCTCCTACAACTCAACAACAGCAACACCAAATAAGCTGATTTAAAACTGGGCAAACCTCATGAATACACATTTCTCCAGAGAAGATATACAAATGGTCAATAAGACCAGGAAAAGATGCTCAACATCACTATCATTAGAAAAATATAAATCAAATCTCTCAAAGTTGATGCTTGTGATATTGAGTGTGGGTAACTCCACTGAGCAGGTAACAGGAGAACACTGCCCTGTGCGACATTTGAGTCCTCCAAGCCTTCTTCAGAGTTGGCACCTCTCACCTCTCAGCCAACTTAAAGGAATAAGGCAGTTCTATGTATCACAAGACAAATGCCTGGGGCTCTGAGCCCTCAGAGAACTTAAATCCTCTATGTCTGGGAGAAAGCACAGCCTTTCTCAGGAGCCAAGACTGATCAATGGAGAAAGGACAGTCTTTTCAACAAATGAAGGGAACCATTCAATAGATTAGCAAGATTTGGTTGTGGAAAAACAGAGAACCTAGAGTTAGAGACACCTCCTGCCCCCCTAATCCTCCCACACCTCTCCTAGTTCTTCACTGACCAGCTGAATGCAATTTTTTCTAGCTGCACAGACCTTCATTGCCCAGCCGAGGTGTCTTTCTAAGAGGCACCATTTCCCAGGACATCTTAGAGACTCAGATTGGAGCAGAAATAAAACAGGGGACCAGGATCAAACCTGTGGTCAGTTGACTACTCAGTCCCCTGGGCCAAGAGCAGGGTCAGGCCTTCCCAGGTGAGTGTGACTGACATGAGCCAGTGAGCCAATAAATGATAGAGCAGAGCCCAGGGAATGAGCCAGAAAGGAGTGAAGGGACAGGCAGGATCTGATTGTGGCAGCAGAACCATATGCTTTGCCCTTGGTCATTAAAGTCATTCTCCCTCTGTGGAGGGCAGGTGAGGCTTGTACAGATGCAGAAGGGGTGATGAATGGCAAGAGGGCAGCATGGATTGCTGACATTCGGACCCTTGTGGACCATTTGTGTTTGGTGGTTATGAGATAGAAATTTGGAAAGATCTTAAAATTCCCCCATATGCAAAAATTACTATTAATACCCCAGGGCCTAAGAGCAATAGCAAGAAGGACTATTTCTCTAGAGAACAGCAAAGGGTCTGAGACATGGGTCTCAACCCCTGGAGTGACAGGGAGCCTTTCCCATGTGGCCAGAATTCCAAGGACTCTGCATCCAGGTTTCAGCCTCTGAAGACGTTTTAGCTCATTCCTTCCTTCAGTATCCATTTATTTCTTCCTAATTCATCAAAACAACCGAGTGTTACATCTTGATCCCTTAGCTGGTTACAAGTGTAAAATGGGGAGCTAGCAGGCAAAATCCTTTCCTTTATATCCAGTGGGAATGACACCAACACATCAGGAAACAAATCAGTGGTTTCACCTCCAGTGCAGGGAGGGGTGGATCAGCCACCTGAGGGAAAGGTCTGGGTGTTCCCAGCACTGACTGATTGTTAGTGCAGGTAATTTGGTTCTAGAGTACAAATAAATTAATTCTCCATTTGGTGTTATTTTCTAGACCACAGTCTCTCTCTCTGAACTGGGGATGCCTAAGGGAAGATCTACCCATGTTTGCTTTAGGGATCCCTCTGGGATGGAGGAGAGGTAATGGCTGCAGACAGACCTTGAGTCACTCTCATGGTCTGTGTGGGTCTGCTTTAGTGACTATATCTCCCTGTGCCTTGGTTTCCTCTCAATGCAGTACGATGAACATTTGACTGCCAGGGTGTCAGTGTATTAACAATAAAATATTCACAGTATCTGACTAAACATTGGCACAGGGGAGCTGCTCAAATGAGGGACATCTGTTATTGATCAACTCCAAGAGAGAATCTCCTGGGCTGATCCCTGGTGGATGAGGAGCTGCCAGGAGCATCTTTCCTCCTTTTTGTTCCCTGTGATTCTGACCTTTCTCTGGACTCTCCTAAATGTTTCAGTGTAGTTCACAAATGGCCTGGCGACCTTGTGCATCTGTGCTAGCCACACTCAGTCTCAGGTGAAGCACCACCCCTATCCAGATGTGGCTCATGGGCCTGAGTTCTGGCTTCTGAGCAGCTCAAAAGCCTTGTGACTCAGACACCTGGGAAACCATTGCGCCCACTCAGCCCTTCCCAGGAGGTTAACCCCAACCTGACACAGGATCCCCAGGGTCCCTGGAGTCAGAAACCCTGGGACAGGGGTCTGGGTGGGGCTGGCAAAGCTGAGCTTCTTTATGAGGATTGCAGGGGGCTCCTCAGGATGGGCCCTGGCCAAGCCCTGCAGGGTCTTTCTCAGGGTCATGGTCATGGGGAGGGGCCGAGGGAACCGGACTGAGACTGGTCTCTCTCTGCTGAGCGACTCCCATCAGGCTGGCCCTTCTCTCTGTGGAGAATGTCTGCAGGGCTGGAATCCGGGAAGGGAACTCTGATCTTAGAAAGTTTGTCTCCACTGTGTGTGTCCTGCACTAAATGCCCAAACCCAACCTGGGAGATGATGCAGAGGGGGATGGAGGCAGAGTCCAGGGCTGTCAGTCCTGTGTGTTCACCCACCCAACACCCAGAGGTCAGAGAGCAATCACTCACCATATACATTGAGCCGTCCAAATCCTATTTCTTTTATTGAGCCTGGAAGGTAGACTACTACGGTGTAGATTCCTGTGTCCTTCAGGGTGACCTTCTTTATCAGCAAGGATCCATCAAAGTTTATTTGCTCTCGACCGCTGTATGCAGGCCCTGCTCTATGTCCTGTGGACATTCGAAAACCTGCAATATTATCTTTGAACTTTGCCCCTTCCCCCCTGTACCACATAAACCCTGTAACATTGGGAGGCATATTGCGGATACGTAGAATCACATCCTGCCCTTCTTCAGCATCGGTTGACACAATAGCGAGTTGGGCAGTGGTGGGCAGGCTCCAGAAATTTAAGAGTGAAACTAGGAGGAAAGAGAGGAATTGATCAATATTTGGATGTATATGTTAGGATGGAAAGATGAGGCCCTGGATTTGGAACAGATCTCTTCATCTCAGCCTTGGTGTGTGTGTGGGTGTGAGTGTGTTGGTGTGAGTGTGGTCAAGGTCAACAGCATGACCACCAATACTTCAGCACCTGTGAACTTGTTACTTTTTCTGTTTCTCAGTCTCTTTTCCAGGTGTCTGTTCAGCTCACCCACTCACTGCCCTCAGACCCCTGCTAACAATTAGGGGTGTCCATGGGAGGCACCTTCACGGAACACTTCCCTAAAGACTCTCTGTTAATCACTTTCTGACCTGTCTCTGCTCTGTTGTTCTTTTTATAACACTTGTGGATACCTGACATCACATGTAGATATTTTCTTATCTCTCTCCACCCACAGAACATGAGCTCCATGGGGACAGGGGCTTGTCAGATCTTGCATCCCCAGTGCCTGCAACAGGCTGCAAATACCTGTGTGTGAATGAATGTTCCCAGAGTCCTGCACCTCTTGGGGTGTATTTCTCCTGGGGTTGGTGGTAAGGACGGTGTTTAGCACCCCTGGTTAAGTTTTTCTCTGCTGCCACCTGACATAAATTGTTATTATTATGGTCAGTTTCCAAAATTCAATACTCAGTGATGAATAACTTAGGAATTAACAGCAACTGAAGTTTCCCTGCCCCACTCCACTTCCAGATCATGAGATTTCCCAGTTACCTGTTACCCATCTCCCTTACCCATCCTACTTTGCTCCCCTGTCCTCTCCCCTCAGGTCCACACAGAAGCCCTCCCTCCACTCTCAGAGCGCTGTTCTCCCCAGGAGACCCCAGCAAGTCCCTGTCTTTCCTGCTTCAGTCCACCCCCAGGGATTGTTCCTTCCTTACCAGCCAACAGGAGCCAATTCCAGGGGAGAGGTCCTCTGCAGATAGGGGCTGAGTGTGACTCCATGGTGTCTGCTGCCTGCACTGTCCCTCCCTCGGCGAGAAGAGCTTGGATTCCAGGAAAGCTAAAAGGCACCGCTGTACAAACTGTTGGGATCTGCTGTCCCTCTTTACTGTGCACTGGGCCTCCTCCTGGTGCAAGATCACTTTCCTGGTCACGTGGACCAGGGCGGAGTTTGTTCCAAGGACCCACCTCCTCCTCCCCTCATTTTTGCCACCCTTTCCTTCTCCTTCCAGCTTACCATCCCTCTAAATGTTGGTTGCCTTGGAGCTGCTGAGGTATCTGAACACACACACACACACACACACACACACACACACACACACATGCTCTGTTTGGAAAAGCACCAGCCTGGAGCATCCATGTCATGGGCATTCCCCATGGCTCCCAGTCAGGTGCACAGTAGCCTCCCCAACAGCCCTCTCTATTTCACATTTGACTTTTCCTTTCAGAGCAGGAGTTCTGGGGCCACCTCAGGAACTCTTGTCACAAGGATGTCACCACCGCTGTGCATCGGATCACCTGTGAAACTTTGTAAATATTGCGATGCCCAGGTGACACGGTAGATGCTGCTTCAGCAGCTGTCCAGCTAATGTGGATGCCCAACCAGAATGAGATCTGGTGATGTGGTGATGGGACACCCTTCCCCCTCTTCTGTGCACAGGGAGGGTCTCCACATCCTCTTAAAATGCAGATTCTGACTCTGCAGGTGTGCAGTGGACCAGAGACTCTGCATCTGATGAGCTCTCAGGGAAGGTGGATCTTACTGGCCTGTGGAGCCCACTTGCAACAGCAAGGCTGATGAGGGCACATGTCCTCCTGAGAGGATGACCCTCTCACCCCAGCATTGGCCTCTGCTGTGTCTTGGTCTTGGGTCTGTCAGCACCACACAGAGAGCCCCACAGGCCCCAAACTGGGGATTATTTCTGTTTGTGACACAGAAACCCAGCTGGGCACTGGGTCTGCCCCGTGTTCTCAAATGTGCTGGGAAGGTTGGATTTCCTCCCAGCAGGAAGGCCACAGAGGTGACTGGTGGTGAGAAGGGGTCAAGCTGGGTGATGACAGCAGAGGGGACCCTCCCTCTATCTCAGGTTGTCACCAGCCTGCCTTTGCTTCCAGGGACAGAGACCCAGGACCAGGAGTCTCAGGAGGCCCTGCAGTTCCTGGGAGTGAAGAGGAAGGTGTCTTGCATGTCCTGGGAAGAGAGGACTGTGGTGGGAGCTCAGGTGGCTGTGGGCTCCCTGGTCATCAGGGGTAGTTTCTGGGAGACCCTCCCTCTCTGTTGGCTCAGCCTGTCCTGTGCTCCCTGACCTTGGGGCGGTGTCTGTCCTCTGCCTGGGGGAGTTTCCTTTCATTACCCCACCTTGTTCATGGGTGGTGCCAGGCATGGGACAGGGAGCAGCAAATAGAGCCCTGAGAAAGCAGGTGCTCTTGGGCCTGTTAAAGTAAGAAACTTCCCAACCTGTGAAAATTTTCATGAGTTTATTTGAACCAAGCTAACGTCATATGCCTGGAACTCGTTTTCAAATCCTGAGCTTGTCAGTTGTGCAACTTATTTTATACATTATAATAATAAAAAAAAGAAGATGGAATAAGTTGTGTGAAATCAATTAGGAAGTGAAGAAATCTCTAGAATTGATAAATAGCAAAATGGAGAAACAGGTTTTTTTTTTGTTTGTTTGTTTTGTTTTTACTTTGGTGGGTCCAGGATAATTAACATTTACAGCACATAGAGAGGTTGTGCAAGGAACCAGGTAACCTAAGAAGTATGTTGTCTCATATGCTGGTCCCAGAGTCTGTGCCTTCAAATCATCTTGCAAAAGAACAACTACTCTGATGTATCAAAGGTATGTTATCCAAGATGCATAAGAACAGGGAACAGGGCTCACTTAACGTAAAGTCTGACCTTTGCTAACGAAGCTGTAGGCCTGGGACATGACTCCCTGACATCACGTGCCCTGTTAGGAATTTGTGATCAGACCATCCTGTGCAGTTAATTTTGGTCACTGAGCTCGTCATGACTCCCATGTGACACACTGGGCTTGTCAGGCTTATTTACATCCCATTTTTTGTTGTCATTGTTTTATTTACAGTCACTAGAAGTAGCAGGTGGGATACAGCAGTCATGAGGGCGGGGTCCTAAAGCCTCTGTGGGAGCAGGGGATCGAAGTCAGGCTCCTTCTCTAGCTCCTTAGGCAAAGTCAGGTTCACCTGTGAATTCCCTGTGTTGTCTGTATGTTTAAATGTTGCCCACTGGAGAGCAGAAGGAGACCTGCAGCCTATGTCAGGTTCTATACCAGGGATGCTGACCAGAGACTGAGAGCCGACCATCACACCTGGGCAGAGGTGGGCTCTGGCCTTCAAGCTTAAAGGCCAGTCAGTCGGGGTCTAGTCACTGTGGGCTCCAGGCCACCTGACTCCATCCCAGAGCAGGGTGAGCCTTGTAAGAGGACAGGATCTGGGTTGCTTCCATCTCAGAGGGGCTGAGGGTCCAGAGTACTATGAGTCCAGTGTCATGAGAACTGTCCCCTCTGGTGGATGTGCTGTTTCAGGAGGAACTCTCTGTCCCAAAGGTTTCAAGAACAGAACCTGGTGATGTCTCTTCTGAGGCTTTTAGTAGAGTGTGCCAAACTGGAGGGCTGATCCCCCAAATGCCCTGTGTGTCTCCTTCACTGCATTGGGGTGTTGCATCCAAGTCACCTGTGTCCCTGTCCATCCTCTGCGGTAGTCCTCCCCACAGGGCCCAGGATCTGAAGCAGCTCCACTTGGAGTGTCAACCACAGGAGCTGTGGGTCCCTCTGTTAGGGGAGGGGAGGCCCCTGTGGGACCCTCAGTCCTCTGAGATGGAAGCAACCCCAGATCCTGGGTTCTCCTGTCCCATCTGCTGAGGAAATTTCCCGTGCTCCCCAGGACATCATGGGTGGGTGAGATGTTCAGGGACTACAGGCAGGTGTCCCACAGACCAGGGACCTTGGGTTTTGGAGTCATCCCCGGATTCCTTTGAGGTCAGTGTGAGCTCTCTTTTCCCATGGTAGTACCTCTACCTGGGGTGAAAGGTCCAGAGTGTCTGCCAGGTCAGGGCTTTGTGAGAAGACAAAGAACACAGGCTGCTGTCCCGGCCCCAGGAATATGAGACATCACCCACAAGGTGGAAATGGGGAGGGCTGTGATTTCATGGGAATGGAGGTTGGTCTGACTCTTCACTTTTAGTTGGTCCTATATCCCTCCCCCCTGATTGTGTGAGGGGGAAAAACCCATCACCGGAACATCTCCGGACACTTGTGGCCTCCTCCCATGCTGACACCAATGTCTTCGTGCCTATAAGGAACATAGTTTGACCACTAGTGTCACACAGGGTGACAAGCTTCCATTGGGTGGTTTCTCACATTCATTTAATGAGTGTTTACTGAGCATCTGTGATGTGTCAGACCCTGGATTGGCCCTTGGACCTGAGAGAACAGGAAACAGGTGGGACCTGTGCTCATGGAGTTTACCTTGTAACAAAGACAGGCTCTCAGAGAAATCACAGCACTAAGGAGTTAATTATAATCCAGAGAAGTACAACAAAGAAAGAGTTGTATGTACTTGAGTCTCAGCTTGTCTGGGGATCACAGAGAGCACTTCTGAGAAAGTGACCTCTTGGCTGAGACCTGAAGCATGAGTGGCCATTCACCCTTTGGACAGAGGTTGGTGTGCAAGAGCTGCCTGCACAGGACTGGACTTTGGTGGGCAGATGCCTGGCTGGATGGAGGAGCTTTCAAAGTCCAGTGTGGGCAGTGTGAAGAGTGAGAAGGAATGTGGACTGAGTAATGCTGGTGAGGTTGGACCCTGCTGGGCTGTGGGTGCTGCTGAGGTGGGGTGAGCAGACACCTGAGGAGGCTGCAGGCTGTGGAGTAGCTCACCCCCCTTTGATGGACAAGCTGAAAAATGTGCAAGAAAA